CAAGTCTCATTCTTTTCCCAAATAGTAGGCCTGCGGATGTTTAAAGACTTTCTGGAGTTGTATCTTGTTCAGAACCAAAAGGGAGCTGTTCCTCCTGTGGTTTTGAACCCTCGTGCTCTGCGTCCTCTGCGTCCAGAGGGTGCAGCCCCACAGGGAAGCCTGCGTTCAGGTGGGGACTCTCTGGGTCACAAGCAGGGCTGTCACTGCCTGTGCTGTCGTCCTGTTTAGGTCAGGTCATAGCTGTGTGTGTCAGACTGGGTCAAAACCCATTAGTAGACCCCGAAATCAACGTAGAAGGTTGCAACCTGCATTTAAAAATAAAGAAGAAAGATACATTAATGTATCTATTAAGTGGAAGTACTGTTTTACAAAACTTGTATATAAGTAGCTAATGGATCACAGTGTAAAATGTATTTCTTACTGTGGATTGTAGTGAAAATTTTTGAAAAAATCTGGGTTATAAGGCCTTTTGAAGCTGCCACATGACATCATATTGGGTGTGCCATCAGTTGGCTCTCAGGGTTTTACCTCTTCTGATTCCTAAGACATTTTTATGGGTACCGCTGCTGCTATTGTGTGCTTCTCCCATCTTTAATTTATTTCCACAGATGTGGCTTGGGGCCTAAGTATGAGACCCTGTTTACCCTTTTAGATTTTTTTCTCTCTGGTCTGTTGACCTTTTGGCACCTGGTTCTGTCACTCAACATAGCTTTATTCCTTCTATTTTCAACATCTACTTATTTATTAAGTGAGCCTTCTCTATCATTATTGATAAATATGTTGAACAGGATAGTTCTAAGAACAGAGCCCTGTGGCAGACCACTAAAGACCGTTCTCCCAGTTGATACACCTCTTGTACCGTTTGAGCATGGTCATTTAACCAGTGGTGAACCAGCCCTTCCAGCCTGTAGTTCTCTGTAGCTGACCTCAAAAGGGTCATGGCAGACCTTGTGAAACTTGAACATCCACAGCCGAAGTTGCAAAGTCAAAGGCTTACAGGGGGTTGGCAGGTAACAGAAGTGAGTGAAGTGATAATTAATTCAAGCAATTAATAAGTAATTCCTGACCCCAGCCTTGGTTTCAAGAAGGCAGTGTGGAGTGGGGAAGCTGGGGGTGAGTTGGAGTAGTTGTATTCTATGTAAGCAGGAGCCACTGCTCAGTTACAGGCAAACTTGCCCGTAGAAGCATGGGCCTTCAAGAAAATCCAGGTTTCATGTGGAATTTGATTTTCGAATGTTAGCAAAACAAAAACATTAACACCGTATAGGCAAGTAAAACAAACCTGTGGCAGATTTGGCCCAAAGCTCTCGGCTTTGTGACCTGTCAGCCACAGTATCTCCCCATCTGCTCTCCAATGACCCCATGACTCAAAGCACTAAGATTGTTTGGATGTTGGTAGGTTAATGGCCTTCTGTGGAACCTGACTCCTGTGGTTCTTACCCGGGCTGTTCTTAAACGCAGCAAACTGAGAGTTGGAAGGACGCTTCTCCTTTTCTTGCCTGTTGGTCCCGTCTCCTGCTGGCAGGTTTCCTCCAGCATCACTGACAGGTGTTGAGAAAGGTATCAGTGGGATCTCTTGGTTGGGAATAGGAATTTAGAGTTTCTTAAGATCTCCCTATCCATAGTGGCTTCACTTACCTCATATCTATGTCTGCTTTTCCTTTTCTCCTCTTTTTGGTCCAAGGAGCATTTTCCTTCCCAGGGAATTCAGAGGCACAAGAGCCATCCTAGCCCTTCCTTGTTCTTTTTCACACACCAAAAATAACTTTTTAAATCCCTTTTAGTTGTCTTGACCATTTTGGGGAAGCCTTCACTCATGTAGCATTAGTCTTCCTGACACTGTTTTTGTAAATCTGTGCTACTCTCTGTTGTTTCTTCTTGGTTATGCATGCTCCTTCCATCTTCCTACATAAGCATGTAAGATTTGACCACTTCAGATTGTATAGCCTTGTTAGCCACATTAGTTTAGACTTCTAAGAAAGAAGAGTGTGCTGGGTGATCTGCCACATTCCTAGACTTCTGAAAGGTAGTCTTCCACTGGGGTCAGGGAAAAGCTGATACACTCTGTGGCCAGTAGGGATAGCAGGCTTTTCATTTACCTGAGTGTTACTGCTCCAGCTGTGGGCAGGAAGCACAGGAGTCATGGAGATTTGGACCCTGCCTGGCAGGAGCCACCATCTAGTGGGGGAGGGAGGCAGCTGCTTGAACAAATAACAGTAGTGGCATGTGATAAGTGCTAATGAAGGTGCCCTGGGAACCCGGGGAAGGAGCCACAGATAATTCTGTGAAGTAGGTAGGGGAAGAGGTGACACTGAGCTGATGCTTGAAGGATAAGCCAGAGAGGCCACTCTAAGAGGCTGAGAAGGTCATTCCAGGCAATGAGAACTGCGTGTACAAAGCCTGGTGACGTCAGAGAACATGGCCTGTTAGAAAAGCATGAGGGTCTTTTGTGGCCAGAATGGAGGCAAGGGTGAGGATGAGGCAGGAACTGCTGGCTGGAACCTCTGCTAATCTCCCACAGAGCTCATCCCAAACCCTAGTTTTCCACCACACTTAGGAGCCCGTGATGGCCTTGTCTGACAGTCTTAGGACTGGCATCATTTTAGCCACCTACTTAAAACACTTTGAGGCCAGACACAGTATATCACACCTATAATCCCAACACTTTAGGAGGCTAAGGCCAGAGCATCATTTGAGGCCAGAAGTTAGAGATCAGCCTGGGCAACATAGCAAGACTCAAGCTCTTAAAAAAAAAAAAAAATTAGCTGAGCGTGGTACATGCATCAACTCCCAGCTACTTGATAGGCTGAGGTGGGAGGATCACTTGAGTCCAGGAGTTCAAGGCTACAGTGAACTATGATCACGCCACTGAACTCCAGCCTGGGTGAGAGTGTGTCTCTAAAATAAAAAAAACACTTTGTGTTATACTTGAGGGACTGATTTCTTATTTAGCTTTTTATTTCCACAGAATTTAAAAAATTTATAGAAAAATAGCAGGGATCATACTGGGGACTCACATACCCCAAATGTGTAGGTTTTGCCTCATGTATTTATCATTTTGTTTATAGAGACATATTTTTCCATATGTATATCGTTTTTTTCTGAATCATTTGAGATTGAGTACACAGTGTTCCTCAACTTATGACTGAGTCATGTCTCAATAAACTAATCATAAATTGAAAGTATTGTAAGTCAAAAATGGGCATTTTATAGACATGATGGGATGCTAAAACACAGAACACAATATCCAGAAAACCCTAACAGCATGGAACATTGTGGAGCCTCAGTTGTTCACCTTGGTGATTGCGTGGTTGACCGGGGGCTCTGGGTTGCTGCCACTGCCCAGCATCGCTAAAGTATTGCTAGCCTCAGAAAAGATCAAAATTCAAAGTATGGTTTCTATTGAATGCCTGTTGCAAAGTCAGAATCTTAAGTGGAACCATCGTAAGTTGGGGACTGTCTGTACTGTCCCTTTACTCCTAAATACTTCAGTATGTGTATCCTGAGAACAAGGGCATTCTGTTACATAACCCATTGTCTAATGATCCAAGTCAAGATTAGGAATGACAGAATATTATCTTATCCACGTCCATATTCACATTTCATGACTTGTCCCAAGTAAAACTAGTGTATTTTTCCCCAGTCTAAGGTCTAACCCATGAACATGCATTTAGCTGTTCTTTTTGAGGGAAGAGATTGTTTTTCTTGACTTTGAAACTTTTTGAAGAGAACAATCCAGGTACTTTCTAGATCACCCTTCAATTTGGGTTTATCTGATGTGTCCTTGTGATTAGATTCAGGTTATACATTTTGGCAGGAGTTCTATGTGAGTGGTGTTAAGTCTTCCGCAGTGTCTTACATCAAGAGGCACATGGTGGTGTTTTGTCTCAGTATTGGTGATGATGGTAACTTTGGTCATTTGGGTTAAGGTGGTGTCTGTCTACTAGATCTCTCCACTACAGTTACTATTGTAATTATGTAATTTTAGAGGAGATGCTTTGAGACCATGCATACATACATCCTGTACCTCACCATGCTTTCACCTGCTGCCACTGATGACTCTCTAAATCCATCAGTCCTTCTATGTTTTCTCTTAGCATTCTACAGTAAGGAAGAGCTTTCCTTTCCTAAGGGATGGGTCTGCAAACTCAATTTCACATCTTTGTATTCACTTTTCACTTGCTGGGCCAGGTCCTCCTGGCCCTCTTACTCTCATCCTTCCCCCTTTGGTGTGCTTTTGGGGATATGAGGTATATAGTGCTGGTTCTTGTGCTCAGGGAGAGGCCTGACTCCTTCTCTAAGCAGCAACTTGCTTGTCTTTGGCAGGACTGACCGGGCATGGGGCTAAATGCATGCTGTGTCAGATCATCGGCGTTTCCCTCAGGCCTGGGGCTGTGTGTGGGAATGTGGTCTGTTGCCAGCTTTCTGTGCTCGGCCTGGGCTTAAGTGAGGACAGTTTTAGGGGGAGAAAAGAACTGTGGGTTCCCACTAGGAAGCTGTGGCTGACCCATGGTCCAGGCTAAATTTGTTAATCAGAGCTCCTCTTTCCCTACCCCTATGAACCCACACTTCACGCTTAGAGCACGTGTGTACACACAGGCTTGGTTGGATTTCTTTCCATCTTGACAAAACAAAATAAAGTCCTAGTGTGATTTTGATCATTGTGAATTAAGGACTTTTTTGTGTGTCTCTGGTTTTAGGAGAGCCTCATTCGTGTGATTGATCTGAGGCTCCAAAAGTTTCTGAACAACATTAAGAATGTCACATTAGGATCTTCTCTTTAAAAATATCTTGAAGATCTTCTTTTTATTTCTGCTGGTGAAGCTCGCTAGGGAACCAAAGCCATGGGAAGATGAATTGAAGGCTCAAGAAGTACCAGAGAGAGGATTTGCAAGAAAAGTTGGGGGTCAGATGTGCACCTGAGTGGTATGAAGCAGGGAAATGCTTTTCAAATAGTGTGGTTCATTTTTTTCCTTTTTCCCCCTTCTCTCTCTCTTTAGACAGGCTCAGAGCTCAGCCCAGTTGATGGACCTGTTCCAGGTCAGATGGACTCAGGGCCAGTGTACCATGGGGACTCACGGCAGCTAAGCGCCTCAGGGGTGCCGGTCAATGGTGCTAGAGAGCCCGCTGGACCCAGTCTGCTGGGGACTGGGGGTCCTTGGCGGGTAGACCAAAAGCCCGACTGGGAGGCTGCCCCAGGCCCAGCTCATACTGCTCGCCTGGAAGATGCCCACGATCTGGTGGCCTTTTCGGCTGTGGCCGAAGCTGTGTCCTCTTATGGGGCCCTTAGCACCCGGCTCTATGAAACCTTCAACCGTGAGATGAGTCGTGAGGCTGGGAACAACAGCAGGGGATCCCGGCCAGGGCCCGAGGGCTGCTCTGCTGGCAGCGAAGACCTTGACACACTGCAGACGGCCCTGGCCCTCGCGCGGCATGGTATGAAACCACCCAACTGCAACTGCGATGGCCCAGAATGCCCTGACTACCTCGAGTGGCTGGAGGGGAAGATCAAGTCTGTGGTCATGGAAGGAGGGGAGGAGCGGCCCAGGCTCCCAGGGCCTCTGCCTCCTGGTGAGGCCGGTCTCCCAGCACCAAGCACCAGGCCACTCCTCAGCTCAGAGGTGCCCCAGATCTCTCCCCAAGAGGGCCTGCCCCTGTCCCAGAGTGCCCTGAGCATCGCCAAGGAAAAAAACATCAGCTTGCAGACCGCCATTGCCATCGAGGCCCTCACACAGCTCTCCTCCGCCCTCCCGCAGCCTTCTCATTCCACCCCCCAGGCTTCTTGCCCCCTTCCTGAGGCCTTGTCACCTCCTGCCCCTTTCAGATCTCCCCAGTCTTACCTCCGGGCTCCCTCATGGCCTGTGGTTCCTCCTGAAGAGCACTCATCTTTTGCTCCTGATAGCTCTGCCTTCCCTCCAGCAACTCCTCGAACTGAGTTCCCTGAAGTCTGGGGCACCGACACCCCTCCAGCAACGCCCCGGAGCTCCTGGCCCATGCCTCGCCCAAGCCACGACCCCATGGCTGAACTGGAGCAGTTGTTGGGCAGCGCCAGTGATTACATCCAGTCAGTATTCAAGCGGCCTGAGGCCCTGCCTACCAAGCCCAAGGTCAAGGTAGAGGCACCCTCTTCCTCCCCAGCCCTGGCCCCATCCCCTGTGCTTCAGAGGGAGGCTCCCACGCCATCCTCGGAGCCCGACACCCACCAGAAGGCCCAGACCGCCCTGCAGCAGCACCTCCATCACAAGCGCAGCCTCTTCCTAGAACAGGCTCACGACACCTCCTTCCCTGCTCTTTCGGAGCCTTCTGCTCCTGGCTGGTGGCCCCCACCAAGCTCACCTGCCCCACGGCTTCCAGACAGACCACCCAAGGAGAAGAAGAAGAAGCTCCCAACACCAGCTGGAGGTCCCGTGGGAACAGAGAAAGCTGCCCCTGGGATCAAGCCCAGTGTCCGAAAGCCCATTCAGATCAAGAAGTCCAGGCCCCGGGAAGCACAGCCACTCTTCCCGCCTGTCCGGCAGATTGTCCTGGAAGGGCTCAGGTCCCCGGCCTCCCAGGAAGTACAGGCTCATCCACCGGCCCCTCTACCTGCCTCACAGGGCTCTGCTGTGTCCCTGCCCCCAGAACCTTCTCTTGCGCTATTTGCACCTAGTCCCTCCAGGGACAGCCTGCTGCCCCCTACTCAGGAAATGAGGTCCCCCAGCCCCATGACAACCTTGCAGCCAGGCTCCACCGGCCCTCTTCCCCCTGCCGATGACAAGCTGGAAGAGCTCATCCGGCAGTTTGAGGCTGAATTTGGAGATAGCTTTGGGCTTCCCGGCCCCCCTTCTGTGCCCATTCAGGACCCCGAGAACCAGCAAACATGTCTCCCAGCCCCTGAGAGCCCCTTTGCTACCCGTTCCCCCAAGCAAATCAAGATTGAGTCTTCAGGGGCTGTGACTGTGCTCTCAACAACCTGCTTCCATTCAGAGGAGGGAGGCCAGGAGGCCACACCCACCAAGGCAGAGAACCCACTCACACCCACCCTCAGTGGCTTCTTGGAGTCACCTCTTAAGTACCTGGACACACCCACCAAGAGTCTGCTGGACACACCTGCCAAGAGAGCCCAGGCCGAGTTCCCCACCTGCGATTGCGTCGGTAAGTCCGCCTGGGTGTCAGGAAAAGGCAGAGAAATGGCTGTGGCCTGGTAAGCTAGGGATTTCTAGGCTCTGCTTTCATTTGGCAAACATTTATTGTTTGCCAACTGCGACACTGGGTTCTGGAAACATAGAAATGAGCTCATAGCCTAGTGGAAAAGACATTGAAAGAAATTGACCTGATACTGTTGGTGTATGTCACGTCGGTTGAGATGGGCAAGGGGCTTTAATACACAAATGGAGTTGAAGGCATAATAGAGGCCTTCCTGTAGGAGGTAGTACTTGTGCCGAGCCCTACAGAGCCATCAGGTAGAAAGGACACATTCTAGGAAGAGGGAGTAGCTTGGGCAACAGCTTAGTGGCTGTGAGGGAGTGGAACTTACTTGGACTATTCTTGGTTCAGGCAGGAGCAAAAGGGTTTGGGTATATGTGGGGATGAACAAAAGGTGGCTTGGTGGGTGGGGAGGATGGTCAGGGGCCAGATTGCACAGGGCCCAGGGAGCCACGGCCAAGAGTTTGACTTGACCCCATAGGTAATAGTGAGCTCCTGAGGATTTTAAAGCAAGGAATGCCCTGTCACCTCATGCTTTTGAAAGACTTCTGGCTTATGGTGGGTAGGGAAGCTTGAGGGCGCTGAGGAGGCATAGCTGTAGGAAAGGTGTTGTCATGAACCAGGCAAGAAATGACAAGGGCCTGGCCTGAAAGAGCCGATGGCAGAGGGAGGGGTTGGAAGGTCTCCAGAGGAAGGCTTGTGGGAGGAGGGAATGAGATACTGCAGGTCTCTGCCTGAGGTGGTGGTGTTCACTGAGAACTCAGATTGGGAGGACGGGAAGTGAGTTCCCATTGGACGAACCAGATCTGAAGTGGCCAGGAGACCAGGTCAGTGTCTGAGTTACACGTTTGGACGTAGTTAGCCTGCAAGTCATGGTTGAAGCTGTGTCTGCATAAAAACGCGTTGAGGAGTTGAGTCCACTTCTAAGCCTTGCCTTCTGGAATCAGAGCAGGGTGCAGTGCCTCTGAGGACCACTCCCCTCTAAGGGTACTGTCTCTGGGAAGTCCTAGACGCAGGGGTAAGCTCCAGGTCCACTGGGCCCCCACGCTCTGTTTATGGAGTGTTCTGTAAAAGCTATGTGCGTTTCAGATGTTGACAGAAAACACGGTGATGCTGGCGATGAGCATATTGAATTATTGTGATTTTATGATACACAGACGGGTCTTGGGGAAAAGGCTGTCTTCCCTACTTGTGAAAAATACGTAAACATCAAATAAGTCATGGACTTGCTGGGATGTTGTCTCTTGGTCAGTGAGGAGAGCTGGGCTGTTCCGCCTGCTCCAGTTATCCCTCCCCAACTCCTGAGGTATGAGGCAGAGGGGTGGGTGACAAGGAGCCATGTGCAGAACAAGGAAAAGCTGGCCCCAGGGCTTTTATCTGGGGGTGAACAGGTATGCTGCCAGGCACTCACAGACATGCTCCGAGATGGTGGTTCCCACTGGCCCTGTCCATTCTTAGATATGACTAATAATGACATGACTGGGCCCAGCGCGGTGGCTCATGCCTGTAATCCCAGCACTTTGGGAGGCCGAGGCAAGTGGATCATGAGGTCAGGAGATCGAGACCATCCTGGCTAGCACGGTGAAACCCCGTCTCTACTAAAAATACAAAAAATTAGCCGGGTGGGTGGTGGGCACCTGTAGTCCCAGCTACTTGGGAGGCTGAGACAGGAGAATGGCGTGAACCCAGGAGGCGGAGCTTGCAGTGAGCTGAGATTGTGCCACTGCACTCCAGCCTGGGTGGCAGAGCCAGACTCTGTCTCAAAAAAAAAAAAAAAAAAAGGCCGGGCGCGGTGGCTCAAGCCTGTAATCCCAGCACTTTGGGAGGCCGAGATGGGCGGATCACGAGGTCAGGAGATCGAGACCATCCTGGCTGACACGGTGAAACTCCGTCTCTACTAAAAAATACAAAAAACTAGCCGGGCGACGTGGCGGGCTCCTGTAGTCCCAGTTACTCGGGAGGCTGAGGCAGGAGAATGGCGTGAACCCGGGAGGCGGAGCTTGCAGTGAGCTGAGATCCGGCCACTGCACTCCAGCGTGGGCGGCAGAGCGAGACTCCGTCTCAAAAAAAATAATAATAATAATTTTTTATCCATTTGTATAAAAAATGTATATTATCCATTTGTATAATAATGACATGACTTCGAGGGCCCTCTTATTTACCAGCATATGGGGGAAACTTGTTTTGATCATGGGGTCCGCCTACCCTTTTCTCCATGCGTGTATGTGTGTGTCCCATCTGCCTGTGTTTAGCACCTCGTTTCTCCTTCTGCAACGTGGGAAATATCCTTACCTAGTGTTTTAAGACATAGTTGATCCTTAGTCAAGATTTTAATTGTTGAATTTAATTACATGGATATTATGTGTGGTCAAACTAGTTTTTAAATTTGCATCCCAACTCCACTTACTGGCTGGGAGTGCTTGGGCACTTTACATAACCCATTACAGTTTCTGCTTCCTCATATGTAGAATGAAAATGATAATAGTACGTGCCTCACCGGGACTGTTGTGAGGATTAAATTCATTACTATGTGTTTAGTAATGAGTTTAACACTTAGTGTTGTGTTGGCACAAGAGTGTCAGCTGTTATCAAGCCTATCAAGTCCAATAGGGCAAGAAAAGTAAAACCATACCTTTGTAAAGGAAAAAAAAGTTGACTGTTCCTTTATTTATCATATATTAATTACCTAGCCATGTATAACTGCCAATAAGCATAAAATTAAGAGAAACGGTTCATCACTAAAGGACTTTATGGTTTACTTTTTTTTTTTTTTTTTTTAGGCAGGGTCTCACTCTGTTGCTGGGGCTGGAATGCAGTGGCATGATCTCTGCTCACTGCAGCCTCCACTTCCTGGGCTCAAGCAATCCTCCCACCTCAGTCTTCCGAGTAGCTGGAATTACAGGTGCATGCCACCATACTTGGCTAATTTTAAAAATTTTTTTGTAGAGACGAGGTCTCACTGTATTGCCCAGGCTTGTCTCAAACTTCTGGGCTCAAGCAGTCCTGTCATCTCAGCCTCCCAAAGTGCTGGGATTATAGTTGTGAACCACTGCGTCTAGCCTATGGTTTACTTAAGGAAAAAAAAAAAAAGAGACAATAAAATATTTAGACACCCACTCAACCAGTGTGTGCCGAGTGCCTTTTGCCTCTGAGGCCCATGCTGCTGTATGGAAGTGGCTGTATCGCAGGAGTACCCTGTAGCACAGACTTGGTTGTCATCATGGGAGGTCATGTTTTATCTAGGAAACTCTTGTTTAGAGCTCGGTTTTGAAAACTGTCGTGAACACAGATGGGGAGAGGCAGAAAGGCTTTCCAGACTGAGGAGTGCATAAGCACAGTCTTGGCATAAGGAGCAAGCTTGCAGGATGGGATGTTGCAAGGATGACCTGAAACCTCTGTTCTCCTGCATTCCTCAGATGAGGAGCCCCCACCAGAGAGGATACATCTTCGCTTGTAGGCAGTGAGCAAAAGTGCAGGCATCTGTCAGCATCAGAGAAACCAGACCTCCAGAAACTGGGAGCTAACAACACTTTGTATTGTTAAATTAGAGGAAAATACTTACGTGAAACAAATTTGAACGATCATCTCAGTTAAGTTTTAAAAAATGGAAAAAAGACTAGAAGGAAATATATCAACAGTGGATTGTCTCTATGATTGGGATATGGATGACCTTTCCCTCATGTGTTTTCCGAATTTTCTACAATGAAATTTGTATTTTATAACCCAGAAATATTTGTGAAAGTGCACACTCGCAATAGCATGGAAGGTGGATTGGTGGAGGGTGATAACCCTGTGGTAGGAGACGCATTAGGAAGCTGTTGAGAGTAAAAGTGTTCATGAAGCACCTGCTCAGGTCTAGGCACCCTGCCAAGTATTTTATAGTTACCACCTCACTTAATCCTCATAGCAGCCCTATGAGGTAAGTACTGTCAGTGACTCCATTTTAGCCATGAGGAAACAGATTAAGTAATTTACCAAGGTCATACAAACTAGTGAAAGTGAGATTTGAACCTAGGCAGTTGGACTCTTAACCACCATGTCATATTGTGTTTGAAATTAGTCAGTTGGGAAACAGGTCCTCACTAAAACAATGGTAGTAGAATGAAGAGAGGCAACGAAGAGATTTGCTCTGAAAGTTTCTGGAGGGCCTGAGGTTCGTGTTAGGAGAACCCATTCTGTTTTCCAGAATTGTCTGGCCACGTGCTTCTCACTCTGTTGCCCATGCTGGAGTGCAGTGGCATGATCTTGGCTCACTGCAACTTCTGCCTCCTGGGTTCTAGCAGTTCTCATGCCTCGACCTCCTGAGTAACTGGGATTACAGGCACCCGCCACCGTGCCTGGGTAACTTCTCGTATTTTAGTAGAGACAGCGTTTCATGGTGTTGCCCAGGCTAGTCTCAAACTCTTGAGCTCAGGCAGTTCACTTGTCTCAGCCTCCCAAAGTGCTAGGATTATAGGTGTAAGCCGCCATGCCTGAACAGGTGCTTCTTCAGTTGGTGTGGTAGAATTTGTCTTTGTGAATCCAGGCTCAGAACAAGGCTTAGAAATCAAGGTACTCACTCTGGGGTGACAGTGGGACAATCCCATACTCTAGAAATTCATCCCCTCACCAGTGGTAGGTAGTTACAGGAAGAATTTTCCTTAAAAGTGGGGGTGAAATGTGGAGACTCCATGAAGCCACCTAATAGCTGATAACTGAATATGGAAACAACTTTATAAAAGCATACAAGTTCCTATAGCCAAAAAAAAAAGGGGGGGGGAGTGGGGGGCAGGGGAGGGGCCTGGGCACTGTGGCTCATGCCTGTAATCCCAGCACTTTGGGAGGCCGAGGCAGGCGGATCATGAGGTCAGGAATTCGAGACCACCTGGCCAGTATGGTGAAACCCTATCTCTACTAAAAATCCAGAAATTAGCCGGGCGTGGTGGTGGGCACCTGTAATTCCAGTTACT